GGGGGGGAGAGTAAACGAGTGTGATTTTATGGAAGAACGGAAAGCAGACATTTCAGACTTCTTAATCTGATCTGCTTTGGAACAAAGCCAGTTTGAGATTCACGTAAGACCTTGAAGACCTGTATTTTTTTTTAATTGGACTTTTTCTTTTGAGAAAATTGTAGGTTCACATGCAGCTTTAAGAAAATACACAAAAAGATCCTGAGTTCTCTTCACCCAGTTCCCCCCCAGTGTTAACATCTTGTACAACTCCAGTACAACATTCCCATCAGGATGCTGGTACTAATGCAGTCAAGAAAAGCAGCAGTTCCATCACCACCCTACTCCTATTTTTAACCTCTGCTTGGTTACAAACCAAAATTAAACCCACTGCCATCGAGTCCATTCTGACTCATAGTGACCCCCACTGGGTTTCCGAGGTGGTAAATCTTTATGGACATAGACTGCCCTGGTCTTCCTTCCAAGGAGCAGTGGTGGGTTTGAAGCGCCAACCTTCTGGTTAACAATCAAATGCCTTGGGCACTGTGCCACCAGAGCTCTTTCTCGGTTACAGTTAATTCAATGTTTAACAACAGGGGAAGAGTTCTAGGGACCAATCACAACATACTTACCCTTCTGCACCTTGGCACCATCTTAGTAAGAAGTGACTTGGGAAGTTGACAGGTTCCAGGGGGACTCCCAACTGCCGGGCAATTGTCAAATACAGCAGGGACATGCTGATTGGGATGCCTGTTCTGCGGATCAAAACCTAAAGGAGAAGAACACTTTTGGTTCAGAGATAAACCACACATTTCCAAATTTAACAGACACTGTCGATGAGGCATTTATGTGGCATCAGGCGTGATGCTCAACTTTGAGGTTTAAGGGGCCCACCACCTTCAGTCGGAACCTTTGGTGCAGTCTGTAAGAAGAACTTCTACATTTTTTAATGGTTGAAAACAGTAATCGAGAGACTGGTAATTTGTAACACAGGAAAATGATACGAATTCATGCCACTGTGTCCATATGTGAAGTGTTATTAGAGACACGCTCACTTGGTTGTGTATTCTCAGGGTTTCTTTCACACCACAGTGGCTGTCACTGGAGCCTCACTCACTTGGTTGTGTATTCTCAGGGTTTCTTTTACACAATGGCACAACTCAGAACTAGCAACAGATATCATATGGCCTGCAAAGAGGAAAGTCACCCTGGCCTTTAACAGATTTCAAACTCACTGCCATCAAGTTGTTTCTGACTCGTAGTAACCCCCACTGGGTTTCCAAGGCTATAAATCTTTAGGGAAGCACACTGACTCACCTTTCTCCTGCAGAGTGGCTAGTGGGTTTCTACCACTGACCATATGGCTTTTAGCCAAATGCTTTAATCACTGCACCACCAGAGCTCCTGAACCTATGTTGTTGTTGTTGTTGTTATGTGACATTGAATCGGACCTGACTCATAACGACCC